ACACACACACACACACACACACACAGATAGAACATTCATATGCCCATCATAAAGTCTAGCACAAGGAATTTTCCTATGCTGACTTAGTCCTTTGGCCCAGTCCTGCCAGGCCAGCCTTGAACTTTACATTACGAAACACATCTGAAAGCTTTATTATTTAACAAGTAAATAAACCGGAAGTCTGATGAAGTCTGATGAAGAGAAAGACTTTATCCCCTTGACAGAGCCAGTTTTAAACACATGAGAAACAGTCAAACTTTTACCTACTTGGGTTCCAAATTATCTCTTTGAAGCAGTTCAAAACAATAAGTGCCATTATTATTTTTTCAGACAAACTACAGTCTTATCTGCTTATAGAAGTGAGAAAGGTTACTGCTGGGTTCCTGTTTCCTAAACCCTATGGACATCTAGCTGCATGCAGGATCAGAAAGCATCAAGCAAGGACACGCAGGAGAATGCTGACAGAAGTAGGGATGTTCACAGGTAAAATAAGACATCAAAACTATGAAAATCAGCAGAGAAGAACTAGAATGTAAAGACCCAGCATTTGTTCAAAAATCTCACCATTAGAAACATATAGGACAGTGTTTGTGTTTATGCTAAAATGTACTTCTATGTCAATAATTTGAAAAACAACACTGAACTAGTGAGGTACAGCAAGAAATAAACCAGTGTCTGTTTTTGTGACAGTTTGAAAAATGACACTTATGAAAGAGAGAAGCACCAAAGTTGTAAGAATCTGTGCTTGCCTACAGTATAATTTAAAAGTATACAATTACATTGTTTCTATACTTTTGCTTATAGTAGTACATTCTTGTACCAAGTATGGATAAGGCAATTAAAATTTATTGAGCAGAACTTACAACTCATTTTAAGATGTGAACTTCGTATTTCAGGTGCAAAATTATCATTTACTTTACAAACTTCCAGTTGTAAGTCACTTATAATGGAAAATGATAGACATTATTTGTATAAATTGCCTAAAATTTAATGACACGATTAATGATTATTAGCTGACTATTAGTCAAACAATGCTAGTGAAACAATGGAATGTTAACTTCCAAGAAAACCAGGATATGAAATGCTTTTAAAAGGAAAACTTCATGTTTACATTCTAATTTTCATATCTGGATATTAAAGTCGTGTTTAGAGTAAAGTTCTAAGTCACATTCATAAGCAATTCATTGGCTGATGCTTGGGTCTGGGGGAGGACATACAATGCTACAAACTAGAATGTTACAAACTAGAGAAAGGAAAAACTTTACCAAGAGGGTCAAGAAACAATACAGGTTACAAATCAGCTTCATGTTTCCAAAGGAAACATTCTGAGCCCTTGGGGCGTGGGGGAGGGGAAATAACCCGATTGTGTATAGCGATGCAGAAAACCCAGTACTTTCCAACTGAATTCTAACACTCATTTTATCAGATTTCCGAGCCTTTCCTTATCTATAATTTAAAGTAGGGACCCCTTAGAATTATTTGCAAATGTTAGTAGTGCGGTTAGTCTGGTTTCCGTGTTTGCATAAAATAGACGGCGAATCCAAATTATTTTAATGGGGGAGCACGAAAACAGAACAAGGCTGGCGCGAGGCTGAGGCAGGTACAGAGGCGCGGTGTCCGCTCCGGTGGTCGCCTGGCCCAGGGGTCACGCTGCCACCCCTCCGCGACACCGGATTTGCCAACACTTCGCCAAGGCAGCCGCGGCCGCCGGGTCATCAGGCGCCAGGCCACGACCCGGAAGTGAAGCCGCCGGCGGAAGTGCTTCCGCCTTTTTCCACACTTCCCCCCCCCCCCACCCCCCGGTGCCGACCGACCTATCCTACCTTGTCAACCCCTTCCAGGCTGCGTTCGTACCTGGGTTCGCATTGATCGCGTCTCTGTGGCCGGAGCCAGGAGCACCGGGGTCCGCGGGCGGACGAGCGAGGACGGGAGAGCAGACTGGAGCCCCGGAGCCCGCCGGCCCAAGGTCCGCCGCCGCGGCCTTCGCGTCTGACCCAGTTAGCAGAGGCGCCGGGGGAGGAGCCGCTAGCGGCCCGGGGCTCCAGCCTCCTCCCGCCAGCGCTTCTTAGCCTCAGGCTCCCCGCCTGCTTTTCACCGCTGGCAAAGCTGCGTAGTGTCCCGCAGGCTGGCTCGGAGGCCGCCGCTCCCTCCACCCTTCGTGTTATTGCGGCTTCCATGTCCCCTCGTCTCCCTTAGCTGAGTCCCCTTTTTTGGCACAGCTTCGAACCTTACATGTCAGTCAAAAGCAGACGTCACATCTTGCTTTTTTAATGATCAAAATCCCCAGCCTCTTCGTCCCTCTGCTGTTTTGCGTTGCCTTTAGTTCGAAACCAGTCTTAGATGACTGGTTTTGCCCAGCTTTACGTTCTTCGGTTGACTCATGATAATTCTGTCAAACTTTTAAAAACAGCTCACAAGTCCCTCACTTGGAACATGATTGGCTTAAGCATCGGTTTGTTGAGGACATTCTTAATTAACTAAAGTCCCCATCATGTACTGAAGAGAATGGATGCACTCCTGCTGTACAAAGAATCAAGGCTGATTGCACACACACACACACACACACACACACACCACACACACACCCACACACACACACACACAGAGAGAACCGATTAATACTTTATGCTTCGTATACAAAGTAGTTAAATTAAGAACTACTTTTAGCCCATTGTGATTTGTGAAGATTACAATCTAATGCTAATTGCTTTATTAATTGCTTTATTTAACCATACTATGATATGATATACACCTGTTTTACGGGATGTTGTTTCTTCTTTTAGAAGATGTGGGTACAAGAGAAACTTTACTCTCAACGCAAAAAAAAAAAAAAAAAAAAAAAAAAAAACTTTTCCAGGAGCCCATTGTGGGTTGAGATAGGCCTGACAAGTAGGCTAGAAGAGGATAGTGTGGTGGGGTTGGAGTGGGGTACTTACTTGATTTTTGCATTCTGAAGTGGGATGTCGTAGCTAGACTAGTTTTGTGTTCCTAAAGGCTGTTTCCACTATCCTCAATGCCTGATTTATTATTTAAAGCAGTTAAAATGATCTAAGATATAGAAATTCACAGATAATAGCTATTAATCTGACAGTTAAATATCAAAATGAGAGAGAATGTCTTTGCCGGACAGTGTTAGGGATAACATTAAAAAGAGGTAACTTTCTCCAGAACACCTGGGACTGTTTGATTTTTCTTTTCAAACACTCCGAATGTCATAGTTGCTGCCATTCATAACAGCCAGTCTATCATTTCCCATCATTTGGTGCTAGTATTTACTTTCTGTTCCTAACATGTCTGCTCCCTGGAGTGCTCTGCTCCTTGCCACTTGAGTAAAGCAAATCTATGAACTTCAATCTCTTTCCCTTGAGAAGCTATCAGACACATTCTCCTTGTCCCTAAGGATTCACTCATGCATTAAAACTTTTGTGAAAGGATAAAGAGTTTAAGGGAATATAAAACGCCTTCTGCTGTTCTTAGCATACCTCTCTCTGGTGCTAGTGCATAATTACTGCTTGCCAGTGGAAAGCATTTACAAAGTTTCCACTTCTTCATATAGTAGTAATGTGTCAGTGGTTTGTATTTTTTTTTTAAGATTTATTTATGTACATTGATGTTAAATGCCCTGTCTCTGTTTCTTTGACCTGATCCACTTTTCATTTTGTTAAAAATGCGACAGGAATTTTCTGTAAAACTCAAGGATTGGTACCAGACATCTATTACAACTCACCCCCATGATTTTTCCCTTTCACATTTAAAAATTTTGCAGTCTGAACTTCACTCTAAACAGCACTGAACTGTAAAAAGCACAATTATGAAGTCCCCAATTCCTATTATAAAACGGCAGTACTGCGTTCATTTCTAGGCTGGTTTGAAGGGAACATTTCACTGCAAGGGAAAACAATTGTTGAATCTTATGTCCAGTTTTCTGGCTTTGTTCTTTTAAAGACTTATTTTGTTTATGAATGTTTTGCCTGCATGTATGTGTGTATATATTGTGTGTGCATTGCCCATAAAAGCTAGAAGAGGGGGTTGGATCCTCTGGAACTGGAGTTACAGATGGTTGTGAGCTGGGAATCGAACCTGGGTGTTATGGAAGAGCAGCCAGTGCTCTCACCCTGTTAGACATCTCCCAGGACCCTTGGGCTTATTTCTTCGAGGGAGGTAAATTACACTCTGCTGATGGAATTGAAATTTCCCAAAGGGGAAGAATTATGCCCAAGCTGCACAATCAGCATTAAGGGTAAAATCAAGCCAATCTTTGAGACACCTTCCTCTCCAGTTTCAGCAAGCCCTGCTTCTATCAAACACCATACTCGCCCCCCTCCCCCTTAGCTGCTGGTCTCTCATGATATACTCTATATCAGTCACCCACTTCAGTTAGTTCAGCTTTCACTGCCTTTGTTGGAAGTGGAACTGAACTCAGCTCTGAACACTGACTGCCCTCACAAAGGGTAACTGTCCAGGCTTGGCACTGTAAGCCACAGGATGTAAAACTGCCCAGCTTGTATTGTTTAGATTTGATTAGGAATGAAACTTGGAGGGAAAAAGAGGAAAAATAATAATGTGTCCAATTAATAGTTATTTAAAATTCTTTAGGGCATCTCTAAGATGCCAGAAAATTACAAAAGAAAAATTCCCGAAACTGTATCTGTGGTTAAATTGGAACTCCAAGGCTCTGTGCACAGTTACAGTTCTTATATATTTTCAGAAGGTTAATTGATTATGCAAGAAATTATTATTTACTTAAATACATCAAAATGGCTTTCCATTTCCTGAACTGAAAGAATACAAAAGAGCATTTTAAATAAGTATGAATGACAATATACATACATACATGCATACATTACTTAGCAATTGAAAACTGAGTCAATTTTTTGAAAAATGTAACTGCCTTATTAAGACACTAAATTCTTATAAACTTTCTATTTTCACACAGAAAAATACTTTCATTCAAATAAAAAAAAAATAAAAAGGTGTCCTTAGAAAGCCATTAACAGTACCTGGCTGGATTGATGCTAGCCTTACCCAGTGGCTGACCTGAGTTTCTCTAGGTTACTCCATGAAGTTTCTTCACAAATTGAAGAAGAGTTTTTCAGTCATATCTTTACATGGATTCAGAGCATTCTAAAGGGGAATTGAACATATCAGGAGAGAAGCTAGGTCCCACTCCATTCTTTCAGCCTGAGAGATAATGTTGAAGGACATCTTTGATAATCCAAGGTCAGTTTAATCATTTGGCTAGAATCAAATAAAGTTGAATGTTCATCAGAAAAAATAATGTTAAGGCTACACGTGACTGAAAATGTTTACTTGTAATAAGTAGAACAAAAGATTCCTTTTTTATTAAGCCTTGACCAGTGAAGAGGGTTGTTCAATATTCTGCTGCAAAACAGTTGGGCCTCACAGGTTTTGTGGCTCATCTTTTCTCAGTTTATGCAAAGAAAAGTGATTTCTCCTTTAGGAGCAGATGTCCCTTGATAAATTGTTTAGGAGATAGGGGATAAAACAAAACACCTTGCTATATAAATTCTATTGGTTGAAAAGATTAGTAAGGTTAAATTGGACACTTGTTAATTAGTCAACCATTGTCCAAACATTCTGTTTTAACAATGTACAATATAACATACAGAAAAGAGACCAAGAAAGGCTAAATATTGGGGGATGGGACTGAATGCAGGTCATGGGCATGAGTTATAAGAAAGGATATAACGTTTTTCGAGATCTAATTCTGTCATAAAAACGTGTGATAGTGAAACCACAAAAGCCAGTGTGAAGCTTGACAGTGTGAAGCTGTACTGTCCTGACTGTATAGAAGTCCACCGAGATATATAGACTTTGGGTCTGATCAATTTCATCAGTGTAATTTTTTTTAAATTTGCAAGTGCCTTTTTAAAATAATAAAGTGTAAAAAATTTACACTTTATAAAATGTCATTTCAGTCATTATAATTAATATGCATATTTGGACTCACATCCAGAAATGTGAATGTAAAAAACAATGAAAAATGAAATCTACAGGTGTAACAATTTCAGAAGGAAATCTGTTTCATAAAGTAAATTGACAATCCATATGTATTCCAACTCAATACAGTTTTAGTTTGTTTAGAACAGGAGACATAAATTATTAAAATTATGCCATAAATTATGATTAGTTTCCTAACAAACCCATAAAATCGTTTATAATCTGAGTTAACATCCAGAATGGTTTTTGCTACATTCTAACTGAGCAGTGATGTCAGAATATCACTTATCTGTGTGTAATGGCTTTGACTTATCCCATTTACAAAAATAAGTTAGTGGTGGCAGCAGCTGGTAACTGTCCTGTGACCAAGGAAAATAGAATCACACTATATCTGTGGCATCTACTTACTAGCCGGTGCAAACAGATGTCTTCCTTGTGCCAGCCACAGGCTCTGCCATGTTTCCAGCAGAAAACTGATTGAGCCAGAGAGGGGTTTGACTTTCTCTCTTATAACAAAACAGCCCCCAATCCTCCTTAAAAATAAAGACAGTTTGAAAGTAATGGCTTTACATTTACACTTCCCTTGTAAGCCTCACATTATGTTTCCCCAGCCAAAGTAGCCAGGGAAGTATAATTCAACAAGTGTCTTATTCAATAATACATATGGTCAATAAACTAGCTTGGATAATCGGGATAATTACATTTAGAAATACAGCAAGGCTTTACTAAGAAACTAACAAAGATTTCTATTATATTTAATTTTCAGAACCTGATTTAGACATGATACTTTATAATTTTCCTCTTGCTAAATATTTATAATTATAAAATATAACCATTTTCTTCCCTTTTAAGATGCTGAAATGATAAAAATCATACCATGCTTGAATGGCTTAGGTTGTTGTGTCAAAGGCATCGTACTTCTAAATGAAAAATGGAATTTTCATTTGATTCAAATACGTTGAAATACTTTGCTACCACAAGTTATTAGCATTTCCACTTGTCTTGCTTCCCCTCTTGAGCAATAACTTTGTTTAGCATTCCTAACTATTATATTTTGGTTGTGAGCCTAGCCTTTAACGGCTGAGCCATTTCTCCAGCCCTATTCCTAACTATTAAAACTTGAAAAATTTTCTTTCTCAGTCTATACTCCTTGAGACAACCAAACACACACACACACACACACACACACACACACACACACACACACACACACACACCCCACACACGGCAGAAACCACTAAAGCTGCTCTCGACTATTCAGGACAAAGGCCTCCTCCTCATTTCCCAAGCAAGTGCCTTTGATCTTTTGGAACTGAGTTTCTGGATATCAGTGCTACTGCCATCTGCTGTTTTGGGTCAGAGAATTGCCATAGGAGTGTTGTATGCTTTAGAATGATTCCCAGCACTCCTGACCTCGGCGCACCAATAGCACATAGATCTATTGGATAGTGTATAATTTCACAGAATCAGATTCTTTAATTAACAGCAAATAGCACCTAAGTGGACACATTCTCCTTGAGAATTAATTGGTGCTCAGATAGGGTTATACAATGTCCTGACTTGGGAAGTCTATGGGAGAAGTTGTTTGTTTGCTTGTTTTTGGTTCTTTGAAATGGGGTTTCTCTGTGTAACTGCCCTGAATATCCTGGAACTTGCTTTGAAAACTAGGTTGGCCTTGAACTTACAGAGATTTACCTGCCTCTGTCACCTGAGTGCTGTGATTAAAGGTGTGTGCTACCATCTCCCAGCTAGAAGTTCTTAATTTTTAAAGTTTTGGATAATTTTTCTTATTGTACAATATCTCAAACTAATTTTTCTATCTCAGTTCTTAACACTTTGTAGTGTTAAGTGGGTAACTATCTATGTATCTAAATGCTTCACTTTTCAACTAAAAGACTCGGGCAGGATCCTTATATCTGACCAACACACATACACACAGACACAGACACAGACACAGACACACAGACACACACAGACACCCCCCCACCCCCCACACACACACAATTGTCTAATGGCAGGTAAGGTGACTTTCAGAAGAGAAAGTCCTCCTGATTGTGAAACATGGATTTGTAGAAAAGCTTTTTTTTTTTTTTAAATAAGTAGAAATCGACTTCTAAAACTAAACAGAAGCGTTGGACTTTTTAGTGGAAGCCAAAATTGTGTCTAAAGCTAGTCATGTTTATCAAACTAACTTTCATCATCAGAATTTGCTATCTAGTGTTTGAAAATCTCTCTAAATTTAGGTATACTGTATTTTAAAAGTGTTTTGGTGTATTACTTCTGCTCTGCAGACCTACTAATCTTTTAGATAGTATTTGTAATTAAGATGGCAAACTGAAAAATGAGGTACTTAGGAGCATATAAAGTTGATTACCCAGACCCATTGACCACTATGTCTTTGGGTTCTTAGTTCTGATGTAAGGCTCAAGAATTTTCAGTTCAAAGTTGATGCTGCATGGACCACCCTTTAGGAAGTCTTGTATGTTTCTAAGTGATGGTCACGGATGCATTTCTAAGGTGAAACAGACCAGATAACCATATATAGAAATCACTGTGAGCCTGTTCATGCACTTTTTGTCTCTTATGGAAAGTCTAATTAAGAGGCAATATTGAAATGGATATATTGAGAAAGAAATAAAATCCTATTTTGGAATTTTGCCTATGGTTTGCCCTGGTTTGAAGGTCCTCCCCATTATCCACAATTAAATCCTCATGGTAAAGTGTTGAACACTGGGACCAGGTGAGAAATTTAAGAGGTGTTATGGATTAAATCATCCATGGTGTTCATCAATTTCTGATATTCAAGGTAGCAAGCTCAGTCAGTAAGAGAACAGAGAAGGAATATAATGCTAATTAATTTTTGATGAAAAAATGAGTGCTTCATTTTCAGTTTCTCCTTTGTTCATCATTTATTTAACCTAGAAGACAAGAGCTTGAAAGTATTAAAGAATAGGAATGTTACCCTTCATTAATAAATGATTGCCTACAGAGGTACCACATTGGTCTGGAAATGTCCTTTACGTTTGACCTTAGCCATTGCTAAAATACTTTGATTATCTTCCAGTATTGATTTAAGTTACCTCCAAATTAGGTTCAGTTCAGTTCTCTTCTGGGAGACATAGTTTTCTTTGCTTTAAGATTTCTGTAGTGTGTTTATAAGTCCATGCACTTTGAAAGGATCTGGGAAAGTCACTTGTTTCAAACATTTTAAAGTGATATTTGGAGTTTATATAACACAGCGGAAGGCTTTGTAGAGGGCACATGGGCTTGTAAACTCTTAATTAAACTTGGGGGAAACATGTCCTGCCTGTTCCCAGCAAGAATGAGCATTTGCAGGGTCAAGTGACACTGGCAGGGAATTTGTAAGTTTGCAGGTTCAAAACACTTGCCCAAGTAGGAATTTACTTAAGGTAGTGTTTCAGTTTCTCACAGACTCCCTGAGAGTAAGAGCTTCTTGGAGCAAACCTTGAGACTAGAAGAATGATAAAATTTGACAGTGTTTTAATCTATTTCATAATGATCTAAAATAAAAAAATGTCCACATTCATTGTATGACTTGATAGAAATGCATTCTGTTCCAAGAAAATGCACCTGTTTGCTTTTTGTTGATCCAGAATACTAGAAAATGAATGCTCTCCTGAGGGCATCAGGTAGAGCATTGAATAAACCACATGGAAGTAATTATGGTAGAAAGAGAGGGATTGCAGAAGTAGTACAGATGCTACTTACTTGGCCCACCTGTATATTTATAATTTCTAAGAACATAGAAGGCCAAATAAGTCTTTTATTTGCTATGTACTAGGCAAAAACATGATGAATGCACAGGATCCGAACTAGTGGTAGTACACAGAGAGGAAGACACTGAGCAGACAAAAGGAAAGCATGGGGCCATGAACCCCCAGAAAAGACAGAGACACCAAATGAGATTGTTCTTGCTTCTCTTGGCATCGTTGATAAACCCCTTAGCTGAAGACAAGAAATACTGAGTAACCTGTACTGTAAATTCAAGAAATATGTCTTTATTGTGCATGTGAAGAGGTAGTGTTCCACTTTCCACCTTGGTTCTGGGTTTTATTCAAGAATAAAGAAGCTAGGGACTTCATGCTCTTTCATACCCAAAGG